CAGGGGTCCTCGGTGAGCTGGGGGTGAGGGGGGATGAAGCACGGAGGTAGGGACACGCCTGGGGCAGGGAGGGATCCTGTACCGCTATGCAAAGCAGGTGGCCAAGAGCGAGAAGGTGGGAGGCTTTCCTGCCTCCCCTTCTATTTGGGGACCCCTGCAATCTTCTGGCCCTAAGTGTCTCCACTTCTCCGGGGAGCACAAGAATTAGAAGCTGAGCAACAGGGGGCACTGTCTGTGTGGAGGTAGCGCGCTCCTGGCCTGCGGTCGCTGGATCCCGCAGGTGCATCGCTCAGGGTCCTGGAGGTCTTTGAGCGCATTAGCTCACCGCGGACCCAAACCCGCCCCGACAGCAAACGCCTCCCGGCGGGCTAGGCTGCTAGCGGGGGTTTCTGCGCACTGAAGTCCGCTACTCCCCAGTGAGAGCAACAGAGCCTCCGCTCCCTCCCCTAAACAAGAGCAATACCTGGCTCCCAAGACTGGGTCTCAGATTTTTTTGAACTTTGATGCGATATTGTTAAGTGAACTTTAAATATCGGAGTTACTTTTGAAAGTTGAGGCATTGATTAAAACTATAGTTTTTTTTTCTTCATGTCATTTATCTTCTGTAATGGTGTGAGCTTCCAGAAAGTCCCATTCAATGTTTATGCTTTTTTTTTTCCCCCTGGATCGGCTTGATCTTTTTTTTTTTTTTAAAGTATTATAATATATGAAATTAATCTCTTGGCTATAAAATGAATGTCTTTCTAATTATCTCCGAGGTACAGTGAATTTCTAGTTTCCAAGATGCTTACGGTATGCAGACCTCAATAACTGGGTGACTTTGGGCAAGTCATTTAGCTTCTCTGACCTTTGGTTTCTTTTTCTGTAAAATGAAGCTTAGTGACAAACTGTGCTACCCCCTCACTGAGGTCCCTGAGTATCACATCAAATTAGTCAAGTCAAGGGCAGATGTTAGTCGTTACTATCAATATCAGTAAGTCTACTTGCTATTCAAACCGGCTTTATGTAGAGCTAGCATGGAAGTGACCACAGCACAGTTGGTTACGTGCCGGACATATTGCATTTACTACATTTTTTTTTCATTAAGTTACTCTATCTGCTTTCCTGCATTTAACTCTTTACCCTTAATTAAATATTTTCCCAAAGCATTTTCTTCATCTTCTTCCCCCCCCCCCTTTTTTTTAAAAACATACTAACTCTATTTGGACAGGTGCACATTCACAACTTTCCTAGCACCTCCGGAGGCATAGTTTCAGGTCTGATTTCTCACCTATCTCTAAGTTTCAGAGAGAGGATCATCAACTGACAGTAAAATTCTTCACCAACCTTGCCAATTTAGCCTTCCCTCCAAATGTGCACCCAGGGTCAGAGCGGGACTACTGTCTAGGTCATCTCACTCCAGACTCGTCAGACGGCGTCTCCCTGCCAGCTGTTAAAGCCAATGTGCTTCTGTTGTCACTTTACCATTCTTCTGCCAACATCCCAGTGCGAAGCAATATACTTGCCTGTGTGACAGCTTCCTTTCTTGTGGTCATTCTGTTCCCAGTTTCTTCAACCTTTCCAGTCATGAAAAACAACACTTTTAATATGTCTTTTTTCATTTTTCCACTTTGTTGCTGAAAAATCTAGAGTTCCCTACTGCCTTGGAGAGAAAAATTGAGTATATTCAACTGATTTTTTTTTTTTTTACAGAGGGATTTTTGTTATAGGATGCATGCACTTGCTGAGAGACAAAGAGAGATAGAGACAGGAAACGAGAAATCACCCCACAAGGAACATGGCCACACTGCAATTCCTTTTCCTCCATTATCTTCTGGGATTTTGGGCACGCATGCACATGCACCCAGCATGAGTTTTAAGCTGCCAGGTCTGGGATTCGAACTGCAATCAACTACATGGGAACCCGGTGACATAACCATTACACCATCAGCTGGTCCCATTTCAAGCTTTTTCAATTGGATCTCACCTAAGCATGCCCCTCCTTTCTCTTTTCTCCTGTCTTGTGTGCACTCACTGCTCATCCCCTGACCTACCTGTCACCCCATTGCTCATGCACTACCCACTTCCCCGCTGACCCTCGTTGCTACTGTTAACCCTCCCCAAATCATCACTTGGCTCTCAGCCAGCTCCTGCACTGAAGTCTGTGTAAGAAACTTGAAGCACCCTTTTTAAAAGGTAGGCTTCTGAGTTCAACCTCCTCTTCCAGAGATTCATTGGTTCAGAGTATGACCCAGAAGGCTAAAGTTTACAAAGTACTCTGGAAGATTTTACAGTAAGTACCTGTAGGGTACACAGTTATAAGCAAAGTCATGAAGAGCAATTTCTTTGAGTGTTTTCCTACTTTTTCTTTCATTTGCATAAACAAATTCAATTTTCCTTCACTCTTAGATTTTATTCAAGCCTTTACTGTCACCTTACATGAGGGAAACCAGACCATGAAATGGGAATTCCCCTGTTTTCCAATCAACTGCAAATCTACCTCTGTCTGGAAGAGATCCACTCTCTCCTGCTTAAAACCTACCAATGGCTTCTTGAAAGTTAAATGCAGTCAGTAGCTTGTACAATAGCATGTATCAATGTTAATCTCATTTTCAACTGCAGTCTGATTTTGACTGCACTATTGTAGAATGCACTCTCATCATAGTAGAATAAAATCCATGCCCCTTGTCTTCTGCTGTAAGACCTCTGCCTCTCTCTGAAATTTGCTACATTCCCTCCTTGCACCCTCTGCTCCAGCCATGCAGATCTTTCCTCTGTCGCCCGAACACAGCCATGTACTTGTTTAGCCTTCGCACCAGGAATTCTCCCTATTGAAATGCTCCTCCTGCCTAACCATACATAACATCTTGACACTCGTGTCTCAGCTCCACTGTGGCTCTTCTCTGACACCAGGTTGTACGCCAGGCCACTCTCGCTAATACAGAACCTCCTCCTGTTTTCTGCCACCTGTCACCATCTGAAACATTCTCGTTTATTTACTTACCTATTGCAAATAAGCAGGAATTCCGATTCCATGAGAGCAAGGCCTGTATCTGTTTTATTGCCTGATTTGAATCTCTAAACACTAGCATGTAATTTGATGCTTAGGAAATCTGTATTGGAAAATTGTTTTTTCCTTTTTACAATAATGAAGAAGTATCCTTTCTCCTGAGCCTCTATTCAAAGCCACATCCCATTCCCTGTTGTCTTTGCAAGGACTTTACTTCTGCAGATGCCTCCTGCCATGTGTCACCTGTTTGCTTCTCTGTATCGGATCATCCCCACCAGCATTAAATTTGTACCAGGACATCCTATATGGGAACAGAAGGAGGACATCCCATGGCCCAGT